GAAGAGGGGGGGGGGGGGGGACCACGTGGAAGAACCGTCCTGTGACAACCGTCCAACAAGCATGCATAGGTGAGAGTGCCATGAGTGTACACTGGTATCACCAGTCACACTGCCTCATTTTATACAAATAAATCCAATTTTATACAGACTTTTACAGAAGCCATCCAAATTTTTTACAGCGTTTTTTTACAGCGTATTTTTTATTTTTTTGCCACACATTTCCAAATTAAATCTATGTTACATGTCTGATTGCCTCAAATCCCCTTTGGTTGATGTGGAAACTATTTTTTTTTTTTTTTTACAGGCAGTGATTCTTCCAAACAAGACAGCAGACGACTTACTGTACACTGACAGACAGACAGACATACAGACAGACACAAATATACAGAACAGATACAAAGAGATAGAAAGAGAGACAAAGGAGAAAGGCAGAGGACCAGAAGCAGATTGAGCGTCATGCCAGCAGACAAGTTACTGTAACTCTTGGAAGATGGCAGTAGAATTATACAAAAAGAGGAACTCAATTGCAAACCGATCGGTTAACAAAGATGTGATCAGTAAACCTTATCATCCACAGAAATATATTTGGCTTCTTGTTATTAGTTTATTCATTCATTGAGATTTCCAACAAAAAAAAGCAATAAAATAACCCAAATTGAAGCAGTTTCTTTTCATCCATCCTTATAATTCCTTATGAACTTATATCTCTTTTTGGCCAAATTAGCCTTGTTCCCATCAGTAAATAAAAAGCAATAGTCTTTCCACCACATTATGTCTTTAAAACCAAGAGACTCATAAAGAAAAAGATACTGCTCCCAGAAGGGTTGGTACCTACATGAAAGTATAGACTCTGTACAAGCTGTCACGTTATCCTCCCCACCAAGTAATTGTTCAATAAATAAATTAATATGTGCCATTGTGTAAAGACAATATGTTTGCAGTTTTGAGCCTTCTCGTGTTTATGAGTCACTGAACATACGGGTCCTTGAAGTCAAATAAAATGATGATAGATTTCTTATAATAAAGAGCTGCCAAACTATCCATCTCTAAATCTTAACAAGGTGGGTTTTTTTCAATGTAGAGTGCTCAAAACCGGACCAAACAAGACCGCTTTACAACCATGACACCTATTCTAACTTATACTGGAAGGGATTTTCAACAAGTCAGTAGAAAAATAAACATTGTCCCCAGCGTTGCATAAAGAAGCAATCAATAAATAAATTCATTCAAGTCAATAAACTTGTTTTGTTTTTTTTTATCTTGAAAGTTTCTCACACAATCATCAAAGTGAGAGGAGAAGGTGCTCCTCCAACAGAGTAAAGATGAAAACAGTGGTTGTGTTTTGTTGTAAAGTTTGTCAGTGAGTCCGTGTTCTTCACTCTTAACTCCCATCTTCGCTGGAAAACACCCATTCTTCCTCAGGCGAAAGGAAAAAGACAAAATAAATAAATGGAAACATGCTTCCTCAAACATCAATAATAATCATTATCACACTCCAGGCAGCTGCTTCACAGTAATCACGATGAGCAGGAAGACACCGATCTATTCGACTCTAGTGTTCAGTCCTAGTCTTCTGTTCTATTCCCTGATTGGCTGATTGAACGGCACACGGGCTGTAATTCTTCCCCCCCCCAAGTGAACTCAGACCTACTACTGTTCTTTGTCTCTCCCACTGATGGACTCCAGTTTGAGTGAACGACTCTATTTACAACGCAAACATTCCTCCGTTTCATTTGTCTTTGTGTGGTGGTACATGAGGAAAAACAAAACTCAGGCCTGAAGTGTGAGCTTGAGAACAATCCCAAAATAAAGTGGGACTGAGAAGTGTAAAAAAATAAAGAAATCATACTGTACTCGAACAGTTGACTGTGAGCGAGAGGCGATTTTTATATACTCAGACTATTTACATCTATACGACAGAGCTGACACTGGTCTTTTGGGAAGCCAGTGTTTTGCCTGCCTATTGCTGGTTACAATTTAGATATTTGTGTGTTTTGTGTGTTCTGTGTCTGTGTGTGTATGTGTGTGTGGGTGCGTGCGCAGTGGTGGACTAGGTGAGCAAGCAGTGAATCAATTTTCAACAGCTCCACTCCCACATGTTTGAATGATTCGCTTGTTTATCTTTGTTTCTTAAGAAAGGGTTTTATTCTGTTCCATGTGGACCACGAGGTGACATCATGTACTGCCATCTGTCTTCCAGTACATTCAAATAGTGGTTATTATCCTCAATGTATCGCGACTACATCTATGAAAAAAAAAAAAAAAAGCAGCTGAGGGTTTGTGTTGTTAAGTGGCTCGGTTTTGGTTGTCGGTGGTGCTGAAAGCTTTCAGAATGGGAACTGGGGTAACGCCGACCGTCCAAAGGCAACCTCTGATCTGTTGGATTGCATCAGTGCAAAAGAGATTCGCTTATGCAGCTCTGTCTTTATTTCTCCGTCACGAAACTCGCCGCTCACGCTCGCCGCAGGCCCACTGTGGCCCCACCTGGGATACTATGGTTCAGTGCAAAGTCTATACAGTGCTGTATAGTACAGGTACTCCATAGTACTCTGAAGAAACATGCATACAGAGAGAACCAGGTAGGAAGCACACTATCTTACAGTACAATCCTTATCTGTGCAGAGTTTAGTGTGTGCAGTCGGCAGGACAGGCCTGTCCCTGGGTTGTGCCTTGGGCATCCTGGTGCCACAACATCGTAGAAGAATTTATTTTAGGGTTAATCTGCATTTCACTGAAACGCTGACAATTTCTGAGCCTACTTTAATTACATGTGAAAATGTTTGGGCTGCAATTATTAACATATACGGTGTGTGTTCGATGCAACGGGGAAATTAATTGAACTAAAGCGACTGAATATGTCGAGTAGACAGCTGGTAAACAGAACAGTATTGGCTCCCATAGGGAAAAACTCTTAAATCTTATCATACACTCGTATTACAAAGGATTTTTTGTCTGTTCTTTTTTTTTTTTTTTTGCTTTATTACAAAATTATTCTTATTATAATGTTTTATTATGATAGATTTTCATTATTATTATAAGACGATGACAGGGTCGAGTTGCTTGTCTTCATAAAAAGCATGCATGTTTCCGTTCCCCTCCTCTTCGTCTCAACTTGGTCGGTCAGTTAATGCTTCTCTTCCTCCTCCTCCTCCTCCTCCTCCTCCTCGTTCCTCTCGTCAGTTCCCTTTGGGATGTAAGGCTTACAAAGAAATAGGTGTCCTAAGTTGCATCAGCTTTTGTCTCGTAGTGAGTCAACGTTTAAATCTGTTTTTCACCATTTTGAAGAATTCACCTCGCAACCAAAAAAAGTCTTGTTTTTAATACCTGAAAAGGAACAGATTAATAGATATATATTGTATTATTACGCTCATTCCTCGCTGACTCCCCGGTCAGTTTGTAAGAAGGAGTCTCTTGACAGCCAGGAACTTAGTTGGTTGCCATGGAGGCGGCTGGCCCCTCCTTGTTCTTTTCCTCTAGTGTCTGAATGAAGCTGGAGGTGACATCGGAGGCCTTCCGCTCTGTGATTGGCTCTGTTGGCGGTTGCCCCGGACTACTGCCACCAGAGGCATCCCCTTGTTGCCTGGGCGGAGTCAACGTGGCCGTCTCTGGCTCCATGCACAGTGTCATCTCTTCCTCCTGTTGAGGACACACACAGAAGGTTCAGTCAAGCTAGGTCACACACAGGAGTGATTCACATCCAGGTATTACTAATTAACCATCTAAACTGATTGATTTTTATTATATGTCCTGTATTGTATATATGACTGCCAACTGCCATAGGTTTATAGATTGATTTACTGTCTTTCAGGCAACCAGCAGAGTTCAAGATCAACTAATAAAGACTTGCTTGAAATGTGTAATCCATTACACTACATTTATTTGTCTATGATGTTGTTGGTTTGTAAAATCATATTCACTGTTTCTTGTTCGAGTAGAAAGCTGCTGAAAAGCTTTACATTCATGGCCTTTGTCTTAGGGAAATCCAATGACACAGACATCAGGAAGAGGATATATGAATTTGGAAGTGTTGTGCATTAAAGGGGCAATTTAATTTTACACTTTCATAAAGTTAATAAGTTCATGATTTTTAGTCTGTAGTATGGGTCAAGCTCCAAAAACTGGATTCCTACAATTCCCATAATGCATCTCATAAGCATCTCTCTTCTTCTTTCAAAGCCAGCCTTTTCAGTTAGTAACACTGGCTTTCTGTTAACATCACCAGGGTTTTTTTGTTTTTGTTTTTACCAAACTTTGGAAAGCTCCCTGCAGAGCTACAAAAGACATCATAAAATGGTTTTAACAGGCTCAGTGGGTGGAAATCAGTAAAGGGGCACCCTTTAAAGAGGTTGCAGAGTCAGAAGCAAACTCCTAAGTTTCCCTGCAAGACCCATTTTCAAACCAGTCCCTGTTCTTATGCAACAATTACATCACTGCCAGTTGATGCTCTTACTACTGCTGCAACAAACATTTGTTTTATATTAATATAGTATCTTATTTGATTACTCTACAGTTGTTTAGCCTATTAAATGTGTGAAAAATGCCCCCCACAATTTCTCAGAGCCTGAGGTGACTTCGGCTTTTGTTCATCCAGCAAAAGATGGAGAAGATGTTCAATTTACAGTAAAAAGATATAAATCAGGAAAGCAGCACATTATCTCAGTTTAGGGGCTGGAAACAGAGAGTGTTTAATGATTATCAAAACATTTTATCATGGCTGTGTCAATTACTTCTTACCACACTGGCATAAATTGAAACCAACCCATATCCGGCCTAGATGACTGGAAATGTAAATGTTATATGATTTGTAGCTAATTGAATAAAAGCCACCAGTATGGTCTTTTACAGTGCTCGCTCAGCACTTCACAGATCAAATATTAAACACTGAAAATGTGATTTTATGTAATCTAACCCGACATTCACCTCACCTTGACCTCCTCCTCCTCCTGTTGCTCCAGTAGCGGGGAGTGCTCTGTTCCTACCATCTCATCTCCAGAGGGAACACAGAGGCTCGGCTCCACGATCGCTGACACGCCTATGTAGCCTCCAGTCTCCGTCTGATAGGCCTCCATCTGCCCTGTGTTCCACAGATCGACCAGCGGTGGGTGAACTGAATGGACCAGGCTGTGGATGGTGCTGTTGGGGGTCGCTTGCAAAGAGTGGTTGGCACTGTGCAGCCTGTGCTCCAGCGACTATAAAACAGGGCGAGGAGGAAGAGTTAGAGCAGGGCTGAGATCGCTTACTTGTTTTCTAACTCAGGTCTATTTTCTATGTTAGGGGTGACACAGTGCCAAGCAGCTTGACAAGATACACAAAGGCTCGTGTCGGGAGCTAAAAGGATTAGGAAGGCAATACAGTAAACGGCCTACAGTACAGTCAGAAGGTGTTCTGACTATGCCAGTAATCAATACTGCTTTTCTTTGTGTACAGAAGATACAAGATCTTTTATATATATTATGACTGAGTGTTATGATCTATAAAGCTAAGGGATATATATATATATATACAAGATAGAGGTTTGTTTATGTACATTAAACAAGATCTGGCTTATTGGGGTTATATAGGTGAGGTTTGTGATTTCCAGAAGAATCTCAATTTCTTTTGAAAATGTTATATAAACTTAGGGGGAGGGAGGGGTTACTGGGTTTCCTGAGGACATAGGAGATCATGTGTTGTGACACCAAAATCTGAGACTTTTAAGAGACAGCTCATGATCAAGGTTGAAGTATTATTGGAGTGAGTTGGAGCAACAGTAAACATGCTCACAGATTAAATTTCAACTCAGTCTGGTATCTCACAGGGGCAACACCCTGAGACTCTGAGACTCCACCTGTTGTTGCTGATACTGCAGGAGCTGCTGTTGCTGGTAGTGCTGGATCTGTTGAATCTGCTGCAGCTGTTGTAGTTGACTCTGCTGCTGGAGAGTGAACTGCTGCTGCTGCTGTTGCTGCGACAGGAAGTGAGCGGCCGCCTGTCCGTCATACCCATCAGTCCCCATAATGTAGGAGCCAGTAGGGGGAGACGCCACACCGGAGGAATCGTTGTTGATCGGCTCCCAGGCATCAGAGGAGGAGAGGCAGTAGTGGCCCTGGGAGACATATGTGTGAGGCCACACCTCTGCTGAGGAGTGGTGCAATATCTGATCTGGAAAAAATGAAAAAAGCAGCAGCTGCTATTAGTGCACAATAGATTGAATCATTTTGACAATATGATCTTCATAATATGGACATATAAAACCTGAGATATCCTGACGCCATGCTGCAAAACATCAGCATTATTTCTGCTGCTAAATCTGTAGCCTCGAATGACCAATAATTTGATAATGCTGATATAATTTAACATTTAGTGGGTAAATTATACCTTTAATTGTGTTTTTAGGTAACCTGGATTCAGAGTTTGAAGCACAGCAAACTAAATTCGTTTGAATTTTAGCTTTGATCTCGCCTGCCGAAAAGTATAAGTAAGTTTGCTTGGGAGCTAAATCAGCTAAAAACTCAGCTAAAAAAATCTCCACATTGGCTGAATAAGTGTTATGACAGAAACTCTCCTATATGTACTGAATACAGGTTGAACACTGGTGCACCTTTCACTGTTGATTCATCACTTGTGTCAAACTGCATAGTGCAGACACAGCTTTGATTTTGTGCAGCTTATCTTTCTCTCCAGAAGAAAAGTATACATTTGGCCTGTGAGTAAACACGGCCACACATTTTCACCCTGTGCTAAAAGTTTATTTGACTTAAAAATTATGAGATAATTTGATGCAAATGCATTAATGAAGCATCATATTCATCCTACAGCGACAAAACTCTTTGAACTTTATGAGGAAGACTTTATGCTGTGGAGTAAAAATGTCCCAAATTGCTATTTATACAGATGTGGTGCGGTGGGTTTACCTTCCAACAGCCCATGTTGGAAAATGTGAAATTAATAATGAGCAAACCCTCCAGCCTGGAGAGAGGAGATGGAACAGTATGTTCTCATTACTAAGCACCATGACACATGCTATACTGCAAGCTGCTTGTCTGCAACCTACACAAATATCTGACACAGCTGTTTATGACAAAACATACTATATGCCAGTGGTGTAAAAAAAGTATTATTTTGATGTACTTTACTTGAGTATTTACATTTTTTAGGAAAATGTTTTTCTCTGCTACATTTATTTGATAGCTGTTGTTACTATCAACTTTGAAGCTCAAGGTACAAAACATATTATCAAGTTATAAAATATGATTCAAATATTTCTCCCTGTTGCATGTCCACAAGTGCATGAAGTGTGTATTTCAGCCTGTGTGTGTGTTTGTGTGAATAAAAAAAGTGAAAGGTGAAAAATTTCCCCTAGGGGATTAATAAAGTTGGCTATATCTTTTTCTAACCAGCTGCAACATCAAATACTAATAATAATCCAATAATATGATATAATAACACTCACAGGGGCTATTTATGCTGCATGATAAATTCTGATAATACCAATAACAGTCATTTTACCTAAAATTTTTATTGCTTAGTTTTAAATGCAGGACTTTCACTTTGAATAATACTTCCTTCACCACTGCTCTACGTGAAATTCTCTTACAGCATGTTGTTATTTAATATAAATTAACACCATGCTTACACCTGGGTGAATCTGGACTTCCTTCCTACATAAACCTTCATGCTGCAGTCATATTTGTAGTCCTTTACCTCGACTGGTGATGCTCTCCTGGTTGACCTCACTCAGATGAGCCACGCTGCCTTGGTTAGAGCCCGACCGCGGGCTCTCTCCATCCATCGACGACCAGGCCATGAGTGTTGCCTCTGAGATCGCGAACTGCTGTAGGATGCCTGAGGTCAGAATTCAAAGGACGAGCCAGGATCATTGTGAGGACCTACATTATTCTTAATTGGCTGAATAATTGGCATGAATCCCAGAAACAGAGGCGATGAGCACGTAATTCTGCTGACAGTTAACAGGCTCTGTGGAGTGCCTGCCCTCATCAGTGTGTGTGTGTGTGTGTGTGTGTGTTTCCAACCTGCAGCAAAACGGGCCTCCTTCTCCCCATCACTGAGGTCACTGTAGGCGTCGTTCTCCAGCCGCCGCTCCTTTTCCCGCTCCTGGGTAGTGATGCGGGCCTGGGGGATGCCCCCTGCGCCCACCGTCTGCATGCCCCAGTTTTGCCATTCAATCATGTGAGCAACACGACCCTGGGCCATGGCTGTGGGCTTGGTCACTCTCTCCTTCATGGTGCGGGACACCCCTGGTGTTGGAAAACACATGGGACAGAGGAAGGTGAAGTGAAAGGATGGGTGTAACATAGATGAAGTGGGAGATGAGAGTTTGATGCAGTCGTGATCAGAGGAGTCGAGGGATAAAGCATGTGTGAAGCAGAAGATAAATTGGTGGGAACAGAGGATGGTAAAATGAAAAGAAAGGGGAGAGATAGACATAAGATAGATATGTTATCATCAAGTGTGTATTGCTGTTAGGTCAGGGGTGCTGTGATGGCTTATGAAACTATGGATATCCAGTAGGGTTAGACTGATAAACTGGTTTGGCAACTGCTAGGATCTAATTGGACAGTCAGTATGGTTCTCTTCAAATATGATGGATATGATGCTGATTATTTAATTACATCTGTACTGTGTGATTAATAATAACAGGCTGACCTGAAATAGTTCACGTTCATATATAAATATGTATGATTATAGTTTTTAAGTGTTGTTAATGAATAACCTCTGTGATGTTTGGGGCACATTAGCTTAAAATATCAACTATTACTTAACAAATTTTGCCCGAGGGATCAATAAAGTATTTCTGATTCTGATTCTGACTATTGGCAGCTTCAACAAAGAAAAACCAGAATAGAAAAACATTATCAGTCAAATCCTACTATTCAAATGTGTGTAGTTTAATGAGGGTCATAATGAACATGGATTAGGAGAATAGCTAAATGACAAGGGTTGTGGAGGTGACATTCATGTGTTTAATGAGCCTAAGTCATGGTCTGTACAGGCTCCAGGGACGAGAGGAGGGAATGGATGTGTCTTGTCTGACAAAAGTGCATTGTGGGATGGAATAGGTTAATTGGGGTGAGGTGGCTATGTGGCATGAGTAATGAGGTTGGCTTGTTGACATGATATCTTTCACACCTCTGCTAAGCTGAACTGGGTAAGCAGGAAACTGCTCTCTTTCGTCTCGCTGTCTGTCTCAGAACTTGACTTGACTGCAGAATGTACACTTTTTAAAGAAGAAATTAATTTTCCTCCCGCTGCCAAGCTAACACCAGCTGACATCTGCATAATGGCTGTGCTCTGCATTTCATGTGACCCACACATGATGACACATACTGTAAATCCCTGGATGTTTGGTTCTCTCTGATGGTGGCACATGGAGATGAGATTTATGAATAAATTATGGGAATAAATTATAGGACAAATCAGTACCACACCACATAGCTGCACTACAGTTCACTGTACTGTACATTTCATACATTTCACTGCACTCAAATAAACTGCACTGCACAAAACAGCTGGATTAAACCAAACCACTGCACTAAAAGAAAGCAATTCACTACACTCTACTCAACTCTGTTTAAAACACACTTTACACACTTAAAAACATTCATACTATTACTTGTTCAGGACACCACAACTTCACAACCACTTAACATAAAAAAACTACACTTCCTACTCACCACTCACCTTTTCTTACAAGCTGTATGACGATGTACTATGTGTGTGCGTGTGTGTTGTGTTTTTCAGGCTAAATTCATTACATCAATGACTCATGAGGAGCCATTGACGAGTGTTATCACAATGTGGAGAGGAAGTGATACAGGGGAACCCGTTTCGGGTACCATGCTGACTCCAGCGCCTGCCGAGGTGCAGAGCCAACATGGGGTCGGTTTACCAGTTACAGCACAGACACACACCTGACACACCTGACAGTGAAGACTTAGCCAGAGCCCCGATGCCGTAGGCGTTTGAGTTCCTCTTGAGCCGAGGGAGGATTGACGTGGTGTCTTCCATAGACAGCTAGAGGGAGACAAGAGAGAGGAATGGAGGAGGGGGAAAAAGCGTGGAGAAAAGGATAGTATGGGAAGTGTGACAGGGCACACAAAGACAACGAGACAGTGTGTGTTCGAGAGGGGTGAGTGGAGTGGAGAAGTGATGGAGATGTTGGGTTAATACAAAAGATAAAATCTGCATTACCCAAGTCCTGATTCCAAGTTACTGTGTACTTTTTTTAAATTCTGCACCATTAAGTGATTCGGATTGTGCTCACTACTGTGCACCACTACGATAAACCGAAAGAGACCAACTGTAAAGCAGAGGTGGAGGGGGGTCGTGAGGGAGGAAAGAGCTGATCGCTAAAGGGTGAGTTAAATCAAAACAGGTGAAAGAAATAGAGGCAGAAAGGGAGTAGATGAAGGAATGGTGTCACAACACTTACATTGATTCCTTCCCATGAAAATTCTGAACGTCCATGCTGAGGAAGAGAAATAGGAGGAGAGAGGGATGGGGAAAGAGTAAGAGAGTGACAGGACAGAGAGAACATTGACATGCATGGGAGAGTAAATGGGAGAAGGCAAAGAGAGGAGGGATTGCACATCAGCCATACAAGGGAAGAGAAAGAAATTAAGAGGAGGGAGAGGAAAAAAAGATTGACAGATACACAGGATTTTCCAGGAACGAGGAAGGCAAGAGTCAAGGACCAGAATGACAGGGAGAAGGGAGGGGATTAAACAGGGGATCAGTATATTTTCTTAGTTATGTATAGCAGAGTGAATACGCTACGGATGGATGAGTCTCCTCTCTGGTTACATGTGCTGCCAAAAACACTGAAAGCCAGCGGAAAATCGAGTGTGTGTGTGTGTGTGAGAGAGAGAGAGATGTCAGTGCTGTGTCGAACGGTATCTGATGCTGCAGACAGACAGGGAACTGAGGCTAACAGGAGGATAGGGAGTGTGTTTGTGTGTGTGTGTGTGTGTGTGTGTGTGTGTAAAGGCAGATGCTGAGGACAAAGCCGATAAGCAGCAGCTTCTGCCACACCATTTCTCTCTATCAGCCGGACTGACACTAACTAGACTGGGGTCACTGGTGGGTTAGTGGCCGTGCTGAAATGTTTTAACCTTTGTGTCGATTTGCACAGACAGTCGAGGCCGAGCAAAGATAAATCAGTCATTTAACAAAACTGGAAAAATCCCACTTGTCCCCAACATTTATTACACATATATCCTCTCCAGCAGCTTCATTAGTCTTCCTAGCATGTCACGGTCATGCCTCCATTTTTATATATTTAAGACCCTGCAATATGACCAGCAGTGGTGGAAACTACATATACTGTCAATAGGTGGAAAAAGCACCCAGATCATTTACGTAAAGAATAGTTTGACGCATATTTACTTTCTTGCTAAGAATAAAATGAGAGAATCGTGAGAGGAATGTGCCGTAAATATGAAGCAGCAACCACCAGCTGTTTAGCGTAGCTTCCCTTACAAACTGGAAACAGAGGGAAATGAGTAGCCTGACTCTGTCCAAAGCTAACAAAATCCCTCTAGTAGAACATCTAAAGCTCACTAGTTACCACAAAATACCACCGTCTCAAAATTGTACTTATACAATACGTATATAAATAAATGTACATTGTTACTTATCACTGCTGGACTGTTAAATGTGAAGAAAAGGTAATTTAGTGACTACTGGGGTCGTGTTCACAATCTCCATCAGCTACACGTAGCATGTATCCAGATAGCTCGCTGCCGTTAATCGATATCAGCCTCTTCCCGTTCTTTTCTTCACTACTTCTTTTTCTTGTAATTCTATTCTTTGCTCCCACTTCCTCGCCCTTTGACTCTCTGCTCATCTCTCTCTCTCTCTCTCTCTCTCTCTCTCTCTCTCCCTTCCACTCCCTCTGCAGGAGTGGGTGTGTGATGAGAGCTTTAACGCACTTGAGTGGCTAAGCTGGACCCCTTGAAGCAGCTTTTCCTATGTTCCTTCCAAAAGCCCTGACAACGCTGATGAGTGTGTGTGTGTGTGTGTGTGTGTGTGTGGTTGTTTTCTTTCCTCTCTGTAGGACCGAAGGGCATTCTGGGGCACGATGCATAAATAAATGAAGAAATCAGTCCACAGTGCATTTGGTGAAAATGTAGAGTTCTCTACATTTTAGACCAAAATGGTTCCCTCTCCCGTGTCCTGTCTCAGAGGGATCAGTTTTAGAGCATGGGATCAGTATAGCAGCAGGAGAGGAGAGGAGAGGAGAGGAGAGGAGAATATAGTAATGGTGTGTAGAAGTTGGAGGAAAGAGAAAGTGATGTCTCTGCTGTTTTGCTTTGAACAGCACTGACTCTATCAGATTGGCATCAAGCAACAGACATCTTAGCAACAGCAATGAGCCAACCGAACCAGCGATTGTTCAGTCTTCCAGCTACGCCACCCCACCTTGCGCAGGGAAGTGTAGTGGAAGTTAAGCGACTGACATTGACATGATGTGTGCTACTTTACTAATCTACTAGCACAAGCACGGGCACCTTGAGGGGAGAGCTATCGGGGTGAGTCGCTGTGGCTCGTTATGTAGCTGCGAGTTTTAAATCAGCAGCCATGTTGGTTCCTCAGGTGGAGTGGAAACAGTCCACTGTCAGAGGAAGTCAACAGGAGGAGCGAGCCAGAGGGATCGTTTAAGACTTACCTGCTCCCCATCCTTCTGGACTGGCACGCTATCTGCCGCTGAGAGCAGGGTAAAGGAAGAGAGAAACAGACAGAAAAAAGAGAGAAGGAAAATACATTTTTATTCTTCGTATATAATCATCAATCAAATCACAAAAGGAGCCTTGCTTCCACAAAATGTTCACTAACCTTGCGATCCTACCATTTATGAATCTTTGGCTAAGGTTCAATATGGAAGATATTTTCTCTCATGTTCAGCCTTTATTCCTCTACAGGTGAATTTCTGCTATCTCTTCCATTTAATAATCTGTCACTTTCGTTACACTGTCAAAGTCACATTCATTTTCGATTCCCACCATGAGAACAGCAAACACACACACACACACACACACACAGAGGTAAAAAAAAATATACATATTGTTCCCTTAGGGTATCTGAGTCATAATAATAATAATAAAAGCACAACAGTACACACACTGTGAAAAACGTAAGGAAAACATAATAAAATCAAATAAAAACACCAAAATAATAGTTTAATACCATTTTCAGCAACGGATTAGGTTTTTCTGTGACATCTAGCATCTTGAGAGTACTAATGATACAAAGCTGGTGGACAATCTGCAAATTTTCCCTTTAATAGTTCATTAAATTAAACCTCTCTGGTGTCACTCTATGAATCAAATTAAATTGTAAGTGCCTGTGTTTAACTTTAAACAGAAACTGGTAAGACGTATTGTTCATCAGTTTATAAATTGAAATCTTCATGGTAAATAAGACTCCGATTGGCATAAATATGAGAGCTCAAACCTACTGCACTACGACCACCAGCGTCTATGCTCTGGATGCTTTGTATATATACCTCTGTTAATGGAGACTAAATGCCTTTCTGTCCTTACTGAACTTCCTCTACATGTAAATGGCACCTGCATTTGAGTTGATAATGCACTATGAAGAGTCAGTGGCAGATCATACACAAAGCCATCCATCCAGCATGCTGTAGGTGAGAGCCATCTGAAATACACGCTTTCTGTTGGATAAATGAACGTTATTATCCCTCCTCTTTCCTGGCTGTCCAAATCCTAATTAAAACATTGGTTTAATTAGAGAGACTGTACTCGTAATGGAGTTTAAACACAGCCTTGGTCTCTAGGTGCCTGCTCTCTGTATCAGAGGGTCTGTGTGCGCAACCCTCAGAGGGGCTCACTCCTGTATCAGCACTCTGTGTGTCTGTGTTTGCATGCGTGTTTGCTGAGCCAATCACATTTTTCACAGCTGCATTTGGCAATCATGAGTGTCTCCTCGGGAGCTCTGAGAAACACAGAGAGTTGTTGGCTCTCTGGATGTCCAGTGATATCTGTGACCCACTGACCCAGTGATTCGGAAACATCAGCTCCACTCCGTCTCTGTTGGGCTCCCAGATATTACCCCTCTCTCTCTCTCTGAACTCCATCCAGTCGCATCAGATCACTGAGAGGGCAGGAGACAAGGGACAGGCTTCATTCCAGAAACTGACCCTCTTTACTCACACAAGGAAGGGTGTGCCAACCACAAATCAGAACCATCTTGTTTCATCTGTTCATTTAACACCGTATTCGAACCTGGGATCTTCTCATTTCAGTGGTCTCCTGATGTAACTCCTGAGAGTTTCTTCCAAGAGTGTTTTATCTCCTGTTTCGTTCGACCCAGTTTTCCTCAACCCACTTTGTGTATTTCTTCTATCGTTAGTGCTTCCCTAAATACCTCCATCACTACAGAAGGTACATGAAGTTACTGTATGTATTAATAGCTCTTTGGTTGTACATTAACAGGGTAAATTTACCTTAAAGGGACACTTCACTGACTTTATGTGCCAAAGTCAATTTCCTACACACGGGGAGTACACAGCCTGAAAAAAACAGATGTATAATCTCCTCTGTGACACTACAGAAGTGACATTCCCTAGTTATCTTGCTTGGGTTTGGTGACTACAGTACATATTGTTAACACAAACCTTGTCTGAAAAATTGGGGGCATGAAGACATAACCATGTACAGGAAAGGTTTTGACCTCCAATTTTATAAAGGTGCATTACTAAATTGTCACATTAATATTAAATACATATTTCCAAGTTAATGAATGACCAAACCAATCCATCTTCACTGCTCTTTATGCAAACATTAAAATACATCATTCAAGGGCAGAAATGTCCCACAAAATGTCAGGTTTCTACAGTCAAAATGTGTGTTAACTGTGTTTAAGGGCACTAACAGCAGCTGTTGACAGTAATAGCTACTCTGCTGCAAATCTGCCTTTTTGTTATTAAGCTGTGAGAAACTGTGTGAGCGTGAACAAGGTGTTCCTGGAAAAGAAGATAAAGAAGCTACTTTGCATCAGGACTTGCCAATTTTAGAGAGGGTGGACACATTTATATTCAAGTGCTATTTTCACTATTAGAAATGAACTCTGTGTGACCTCAGAAGAATTAGTCAAGCGTTGTTGACTTTTTGGCACTGTGGAGTGCGGTGTGAGATGGTTACTTATTGGTTGATATCAGTTAGACAGAGAGATGTCTAATCTTCTGCCTGGGTGGGAGAGTGTCCCAGATTTCTTCCCCATCTGGGTTAAAAAAAAATCTGCCCTGCAAACATAAACTGAACATATATGCACACCCACATACATCGGGCCTACAGCAACATACAGTATGATGCGCAGGGACACACACACACACAATGCCGCTCCCTCTCATCCTCTGTTTCTCTCCCTCTCTTTAGTTTCTCGGTCTCGCCCCTCTTTATCCCTCAGCCTCGTTTGGTCAGTTAGTAGATTAGCAGTCACTCTCTCCCCACATGAGTCACAATGTGGCTCAAGAGTCCTCTGGACTGCAGCAGTACAAACTACCAATGGGAAGCCCTCCAGCTTTTACACAGCAATGGACCAGAAACAAAATAAATACAGTGTGTGTGCCTTTGTAGCTGTATGTATATTATCTAGTGTGTGTGAGCCTCAGCCTCATATGAGATTACATCAAAGCATGTGCTATTTGTGAAGTGAGCCACAAGGGTTTGGATGTCTATATCATGCTGTGATTAGTCAGAGCTGTTTACAGTCAGAATATCTCTATAGATAATGGGTCAGTAGTCATTACACAGCTTCTCAGTGGTTTCTTAACCCATGGCATGCTCTGTATTTCTGCACTCATGTAGGTGATACTCTTGGGCTCTCAGCAGCACAGTAAGTGAACGCGTAATTCTGCTCCTGAGAAGCCAAGCAGGATCTCTCCTTGAGGAAACAGCAACAACAACAACAGAGCACATGACCAGAGCTCTGAGCCAGCTTTTCTTCCCCTGGCACTCTCCCTCCTCCCCTGCACACACGGCGGTGCGGCGCTGGATACCCCCCTGCGGTCATAGGGGAGCCAGGCTTAGCTCAGTCGAGGAGAAGGAGCAAGGA